GAGAAAGCTAATATTTTTTCATATCAAGAAGGTTCAGAGACCATAGGCCAGAATAGTATTTTACCTTCACACAGGCATTATATAGAAAGAACAAGAGGCAGAGGACAATAGCAGATTTTTGAGCCAAATTAGTGGGATTTCTTTTGTAACCCATTATTACCCAGGAACAAGAATGAGAAAGAGCAGTGAAGAAATGGATCAGACAGGCAAAAGAAAAGACAAGCTGTGTTACCTAAGGATGCAGTGTGAGGCTGGGGACAATGGCTGCTGGGGGGTAAAACAACATGATACACTTGACAGCAAAGTGTGCTGAGGGAATAAAAGCTGACTATATGAAATTAACATACTTCATGCTTTACTTATTGATATTGTTTGTTGGATTTTCTCGTCAATAATATATAAGATTATGAGAACAGGATAGTTTTTCATACTTCTAAGAGTGCCCATCTAGCTCATAGTAGAAATTCAGTTAACATTTTTGAGTAAATTAAGAGCTAGTGTTAACAGAGTTTCTCTATAAATACACACTAGATGCCTCTCATCAATTAACTCTCTTTAATTTTCACAACAGTGTTAACATCGGCACTATTACTATTTCAATTCTATAAAAAAGTAAAAGGTCAGAGGCACAGAAATAAAATAGTAATTTACTAAGCAATCAATACAAGATTTCAACGTATAGGCTTATGTTAGTTATTTTTCCCATTGCTATGGGAAAAACTTCTGACATAAAAATTTAAGGAAGGGTTTATTTTGACTCATAGTTCAAGGGTAATTCCATCATGGTATGGAATTCATGGGGACCAGGAGCATCAGATGGCTGGTCACATTGTACCCATAATCAGGAAAGACAGAGATGAAGACTGGTGCTCTGTTTGCTTTGTCTTTTTTATTCAGTCCAGGAAACAAACCCATGGAATGGTGACGCTCATGTTTAGGGTGGCTCTTTCCATCTCAATTAAACAACCTAGAAACTCTCTGAAATGCATGCTAACAGGCTTGTCTCCTAGGTGATTCCAGATCTTACCGAGGTGACAATAAATATTATCACTAGAGTCTAACTTCTAAACCTACATATGTCACAATGATCCTACCCAAGACTCACAGATATTAATTAATCTACACTAAGTCATGCAGCCAATTGGAAGCAAGATCTGCTTGTCTTAAAATATGGTGCCTTTATCTCTTTACTTAAGCCTTTTAACATTGGTAAGGTAAATTTATCTCCCATCTGTATTTTACCAAGGACTGTCCTTGTAAAAGAAATGGGTATAGTTCACTAAGGATTCAGCCAAGGAAACAGACATCCTGTAAAAATCTACAAGTACCAAAACTAGGGGCTGAGAGTTAAGAATTGAAGGTAAATTACTTTCATTCTAGGCAAATCCTAATCCACACTGCCCTAGATAGCATTGGAATAGGGATGCTGAGGACACACTGATAAAGCACTTCTAAGAGCCTGATTCATAATTCATTGTGTGACCTTGTATAAGACACTTTTAATACCCCAGTTTCTTTATGATAGGGACTGTCAGACAAGTGGAAATCTCTTCACACACATGAGCTCCACTTTGTCTCTTTTATATATTTGTCTCTTTATATAAGTATTGGAGTTTTGTACATATAATTTCATTTCAAGCAAGGCTGGTGGCATACATCTTCAATCCCAGCTCTTGGGAGTCAGAGGTAGACAGATCTATGTGAGTTTGAGGCTAGCCCATTTTACATAGAAAATCCAAGGACAGTCAAGGATACATGATGAGATTCTATCTTTAAAAAATCCACTTCAAAGAAGGTTTCCAACACCAATAACCATGGTTGGAAAAGTAATAAATAAGGAAAAAAATCATTAGATTCCTTCCAGATCATTCTAGGAATCTAAAAACATACTTTCTGTTCAAAGACCTGAGAATTTTATACACATGTACGGTATTTTCATCATTTCCACCCCTCTCTCCTTCCAATTCTTCCAATGCCCCCAACTCCCTTTCAAATTTATGACCTCTTCTTTTTAATATCAATGTTATATATTATATATAAAAGTATACCAATATTAATATTATAAGCATACACATATACTGTGTGTGTATGTGTATGTGTAAAATGGAGATTACTCAAGGATGATTGGCAGAATCTGCTATGAGAAGCCCTGCCAAGGTCCCCTGTACTCCAGCTTCTTTCCGGAGCTACTACAACTGTCCTCTTGTGCCTGCTTTCCCGTTTGACCTTATGCTCTCTGGGCCTTCTACTCATGCTATCTACACTTGTTGCAGTGAGTGGAGCAAAGGAAACCCTTTGCAAGTGTGAGTATTTGCTGGGACTTTGCTTTACATAAATCTAGAACTTGGCAAGAGTTTGTTAGAACAAGTGAAATAGAAGAGACACATACAGCTAAAAGTTATTAGCTATGTTACAGTTCTTGGATTGAGTGATGAGTTTCTTGATGTTTATTATACTCTAAATAAATAAGCCAATTCAATGAAGTATGAAAGCTTCATAAAGGACTCCTTAGTGTCAAAATAATAGATATAAGAGGAAAACAACACTTATTTTTCTATTAACCAGAATCTTATCACTTTAATTTCTTTTCATTTATTTGACTAAAACAAACTAGTCAGAATGGGGTTCTCCACGCAAAAAAGCATGTTACATCTCTTCAAAGCCTGTTCTATGTAGGGCTCTGGGATCTTCCTTTCATGCTTTCTAGTAGGTATGGAGCTGACAACTATCAGTTGTCCTCTGGATCATTTTGTTTGAAGGACCATGATTGCTGGATGGAGCCTTTTAGTTCCATGACCATTAATAGGCACAGCTTCTTTCCTGAATTATAAATAAAATAAGGATGCTCAGGTAGTTGAATTTGAGTTTCAGATAAATCACAAATAAGCTTTACTGAATGAATTTGAAATATTCGGATACTAAAATCAATTTATTATGTATATGAAATGCAAATTTAATTGGACATCTATCTTTATTTGCTAAATATGAAAACCCTATCGCACACAAGTGAATATATATTTTATGACTCTTTTGGATTTGGGCTGCAAGGACTGTAAGTTTTAGAATACTGATTTCTCTACTTAGTAGCTGAAACACTTTTGGTCTCTAAATTAGCTACAAAATAGTAAAGGTATCAATAGTTCATGAAGTCCATGGAGAAATTAAATGAGATTATAGTTGTACTACTAAACATAGTGCCTAGATAAATATTATTTACCACTCATTGATTCTTATTATTTTAAACAAACATTTCTATTACTGCGGTGTGATTTTTATCATTAGTATGGCTGTTAACATTATTATTGGCCAGTATTTGACCTGATATCATAAGCCTTCCATAAACTTAGAATGGAATTTTCCTTAGTATTTCCTTTCATGACAGCCAAAGATCATTTTGTTTCTAAGTACTCCCTGTGGCTCTCATCTTGGAGTATCCCAGATTCATCCACTAGCTGCCATTGTTTTGAGGCCATTTGGAATTTCTCAAATCAAGGGTGGTGGTCTACTATGCTAGAAATGATGGACTAAATGTTCATCTTTGAAATGCCTTCCTCAACCTAAATTAGTTTGCTTAATGAGTGACCCTAATCTGCATATATTTAAACAGCGTTGTGGAAAGCTAGATACCACAGATATCAAGAACTCGATTTCCCATAATGTGGTGAAAAAATGATTTTGATTGGTCTCTACTGACAACCTTCTACGTTCAATGGCTTCTTTCCGCATGTTGTTTACTGACTTTACTATTTTTCCTCTCAGGGAGGCCCCCCAGCCCTGTAATTCTCTTCTCTAACACACTCATTCCCATCATCACTTGTCCTTCTGCTTTCCCACCCATTCTCAGTAACTAATTGAACATATTAATTTGTTTCATCATGATAATGACTTTAAAGATTCTACTTAATCCCTCTCCCAAGCCACAGACTTTTCTAACACCATAAAATGAAAGAAATGAGCCTACCACTGGAATCTATGGTTTCATAGCAGATAAGGGAGACCAGGCAGGACCTCTTAAATCACATTGCATTATGCTTGTTATGTCTGCTTCGCATGAATGGAAGGGAGCAGTGGTGCAGATAATCTAAAGATCATTTCCACTTGGTTTGGGAATGCACCACACAGTGTTGTTGTAGCTGATTTGCTTTGCTAATTATGTTCTACTGAAGCTAATATTGAAATTGGTTCACATTTTTTAAGCTCTTCTGGGCCAGAAGAGAGAAGAGGCAGTGGCATGGCCCATTTTGAAATGAAGGAGAACTGACAACAATGAGGGGGCTGTGGAATTTTTCTATGTAGGCTAATGAGTCGACCAGAAAAATGGAATAGGATCAAAGTAGAACTTGGCCAATTATACCTGGGCAGAATAAGCAGCCAACTGCCTCCTGTGGTTCAATGGCCACTGAAAGGTCAGCCATTGCCACAGCCTGTCCACCATCTGAAATCCTCTAAATTAGCAGTCTAAATGAATGGTCTTTATCATAATAGAACTGTGGTTATAACACTATATAACAGCAAGAAGAACACATTTCCAGGCAGACACATTTGCAGTTAGTCTGACTCAATCTGCATCTACTAGGAAGAAAAATCTGAAGTGTGTCTTCATAGTGGCATGACCACACTAAGGGGTCATTGGGCAACCATTGTGGCAAGATAAAAGCCTGTAGTGTCTTGGAAATGAGCAGGAGACTTATAAGAAATAGGACAACTGTCAACTCTTTCCTTTCTGAGTTTCTTGGCCACTGTAAACATAGATAATATGTAACTGTAGCCAATAAAGTTTTCTCTTGCTTAATTATTTTCCTGTGGGGTACCTGGACTGTCAGAGGAATCTATAGATTTCTCTAGAGTCTTGGCTTCTTTTGGTTTGTTGTTGTTTGTTTGCTTGCTTGCTTTTTGACATGGTAATTTAGAGATTAATTGTGCATTGGCTTTCTAACCTTACAAGATGCCCCAGGGGACAACTGACCTATTGAAATGTGTTCCTCTCTTTCTCATTGCAGTCTGCTCCCAGTTCTCCAGAGGGGTGTATGCTATCTTTGGATTCTATGACCAGATGTCAATGAACACCCTGACCTCCTTCTGTGGGGCCCTGCACACATCCTTTGTCACACCCAGCTTTCCCACTGATGCAGATGTCAGATGCGCCCAGCCTTGAAGGGGGCCATTCTGAGTCTTCTGGGCTACTACAAGTGGGAGAAATTTGTATATCTCTATGACACAGAACGAGGTAAGGAGACACATCTACTCTACTCTGAATATTCATGTGATAGTGATTTTAAAACTTCGTCACACATGCACCCCTTTCAGTGCATAAAGGTTACTTCTCCTTTAAATTTGTTTTTAACATGCAAAATAAATCAAACTTGAAAAAAATAAATCAATGGCAATTTTAGAACCTAATTTTTTAAGTACTTTGCATACATCCTCACTAAGAAGTGACTTGGGATATACCCATGGATATTATTTTTGTTAAAAAAAAAAAAAAACTCGTCCAGAAAACAATTTATTTGATATAAAATAAAAAAGCAGAGAATACTATCAAATAAAGTTTTTGATCTAAAGAATAAAAATGTTCATGTACGTGTATGATCTTCTGTGCCACATAGTATATGGAAGCCCAATCTGGAAGATTTCAGAAAATGAAACTTGTGAGACTATGATGATTGCCCACTTAAGATACACTAATTGTATGTTGAAACATACACGTCAGAATACAACTAGATGCACCCTTCAAATCCAATTGTTTTTGGTGTTTTACTCAGTGAAACTGAGGGCCATTGCTATTGTGACATACCATAAATGTTCTTATGTCAGTCATTTGCCTGTAGACTAAATATGAGTGGTTCTCTCTGACTTCATGGTTTCAGATTCAGGGAAAGAAGAAACAAATGAAAGGCATGTCTTCCTGGTCCTTGGGGTAGCAGAGAAAAGCTCTTTCTGATCAACATAATTTGAGATGCTAATTTGCTCCTAAGGAGCAAGAGTATTGTCCACATTTCTCACACTTAGCTGCAGCACCAGATTATATCACGAAACACACAAACTTGTGTTTACCTAGAATACATACCAGCAAAGTGGGCTTGAAATTCACCGATCTGAATTGGGATCTGAGAGTTCCAACCCAAGATCTGATACTAGCTAGCTTTCTCATCTTGATCAAGTTTCTGGTGCTCTCTTGACCTTGGTCTCCTCACCTAAGACATGTCCGTTTTCTTCTATAAAATTCTATGACTCTGTGGGGCTTTTTTTACAGTATACAACACACAAGTAACTTTGTATTTTGGAACTAATTGCAACTTATATATAACCAGTGAATTAATCTAATGATTTTGCAAGCTACTATCTACTCTTGATGATATATTCTACCTCTATGACAGATTCATATATTCCAATAGGGGTCAGCAAAAAAGATCATTCATATGACAATTCATGCTATACTAGATTCTGGTTGCTTTAAAGATTGTAAAAAGATAGAATGCCAAAAAAGCAGAGTTTTCAGAGACAACTGCTTAGAATGAATAGGCCTCTATAGTAGAATTTCTTGAGGAAGGGAAAACAGAAGCATCATGCGGCCTCAACTCTAAATAAAGAACTACCAAGTACTTGGTCCTGAGATCATATACATACAAATAGCATTATATGGACTGAGCAGTTTGTATTTCTGTATCTTGGGATATTTTTATACATGTAACAAACAATTAAAGAGGAAGAGACCATTAATTTGAGAGACAGCAATGGGTAAGGGTACATGAAAGGGTAAGGGTAAGGGAAATAATGTAAGTATATTATAGATTCAATACTGAAAATTATATTTTAAAAAATATGGCAAAGGCAAAGTAAGGAGCTAGCTCTGTGTGTTCAAGCAGAGCCTTGATCCACTAGGGTAACAACATTGTTTAAAATTTCTAATTCACCATGTACTCTATTTTAATGTATTTCCTTCAGCTCAAAATGCTGAGGGTGAATTAGTTAATTTCTATATAGTACATATAAAGCAATATGGAGCATTGCAGTTTTTAGAACTGAAGGCTGAAAACCAGCAGCTTCTATCCTGAAACATTTTTTTTTTAATTTAAGATAATTTCTGTTAATGCTATAACTCCATTCATTCCAAAGAAGACCCAATGCATTCATTCTCTCATGATCACCTATAAACAATCTCTGCTCATTAGATCTCTACTGTGAAAAAGAAAGCTGATACCATCTAAGTCTGCTTCTTATCCATCCTTTAATCCTTAAACCATCTCATTAAATAGTTGGAGCAATTCTATGGTCTGACAGCCAAAAAATCCTTTCTGATTCATGCAAATCCATGTTTATTTCCTCTTGTGCTATTTACCAGGTGGCACTAATGTGTTTTGTTTTTGAGAAATATATTACATAAACTTTAACATTAACACCCATTTTGGAATGTCTTCTCAAAACATTGCACCAAAACCTATCCCAAAATTTTAATAACTTTGATACCCACGTGGGAAAATATACAGTCTATTCTTCATGATTCAGTATGCTTATGCCTCAGCCAATTAACTGTCCTCTGCAACCTTATAAGATCTATTTCCTGAAGGTAGTTCCCTTTTGTCACTATTGTCAAAATGTGCCAGTTCCATGTCTCTGAGTTATCAACTGCACTTACTCAACTACTGCTTGAAATATTCTCCTATATCTTGATTATGAAAATTGTTTCAAGGTTTCTAACTGCACAACAAACTGTACTTCCCTCCTTATTCACTTAGTAGTTGTTAAGTTTATAATGGTAAACAAGACACATATGGTTCCTACTTTCATAAAGCTTACCTTCTAAGAGAGACAGAACAATAAAGTAAATAAGAACTCATTATTGTACATTTAGATAGTGTTCTATGAAAGAAGCAAAGATTACAATACTTGGACCTAATTTGTAAAGGATGTTCCATGATAGCCTTATTGATGATGGGCATTATAATCTGGCAACTAAAATATTGAAGGACACAGCCTAATGTGGAAACAGTCAGTGCAAAGAACCTGTAGAAATTAATGAAGACCAGTGTGGGTAAAAATTAGAAGAAGGGAGGATGGTTTTAAAGAAGACTACAGAGATAGAGGAGAGCCATGTTTTAGTCATGGAGTATGACCAGGAATCATGGTAAGGAGAGTGGATTCTGCAGGTGGGAGGTATTGCAAGATTCTAAGCAGAGAGGTCAAATGACTTAATTTCAGCTTCTGTGGTTAATAGAGTGGTGAATTAAGGAAAATCAATGGGAACAAAGCCATTGTAGTCATGCAAGTCAGAATGATGATAACTTGAACAAGGCTGCGGTAGAGAAAAGTATAAGGAATAAAACTGGTGATGCTCTTTACTGAACCAGTTTTGAGGAACAGAAATCTTGCCTACCTCTAAACACCCAGAGAACCCTTTTGTCCACACCATTCACTTATCACTTAACATGATGGCCTCTGCGTTGTTACTTCATCTGGTCTGACATAAACTCCCCAACCCCTTAACTCCAATGTGATTATAAACAGATCTTTAAACAACTCAGTAACGGATCTGTTCTGTGTTTTTTATTCAGTGATATCTATTGCTTCAGTAATCAAATGATGGGGAGGTATTATAGTATCAAATACAATTTTATAATATTTTAAATTACACTAGATGTGGAAGACCAAGAGAGACAGAGGAAGCACTGAAAATTACTCCCAAATAACCTAAATATACAGTGTTGTAACTGGTCTGGTTATATCCAGGGATGAATAAGAAGCCAAAGAATGGGTTAAACCTTGGAGGTCATTTAAAAGATATGTTGCACAAACATGGCTGTTTTTCTCTGGTGTTATCAAACACTGAATGACTCTGAGGGGTACACTGGCTCTGCTCTGATTTCTGTCTACAGAGGAAGGTCTGATTCAGGATTTGCCAGTCACTGCTTCACTTAGTTAATAAAATGTCACCTTGCTTCAATAACACCATGTTAGAAAATATGCATTTGGTTCTATACACATAAAAGGTCAGTTCTTAGGAAAATTATGAGGTTGCCTAAGTTTGTCATCTACCCTCTCTATAAACTTTCCTTTTATTGGCATCCCTGTTCATTGTTTACCTAGTGCTCCTCACTGTACAATATCTCTGTGACTGCCCTCCCCGCTAGGAGCAAAATTCTGTCTCTGCCTACCCTTCCTCCACACCTTCACAAATCGTCATGTCCTGCATTTTGTTCCTCTTGATTAATAGTTTTTCCCTGCTAATGACAACACCTCAGCTCACCAATTTATTCATGCCAATTTATGTGGTTACTAATGACTTCGTGTATTCAGGAGAAAAGAAATTTCTATTCAGGCAAGGAACTTGTGTAGAAATAGAACCTTAATCCAAAAAAATGGTTCCTTTTATTATTATCACTTTTAATTGGCACACACTAGTTTATGCATATTTATGAGAGACAATGTGATATTTTGATACATGTATACATTCCGCAGTGATCAAAATTGGGGTAATTAGCATATGGGTCACCTTATCTATTTATCATTTCTTTGTAGCGAACATATTCACAAAACTCCCCTGTGGCTATTTTTGAAACATACAGAATGTTGTTAACTATACTCATGTTTCTGGGCAACAGAACACCAAAACCCATTCCTTCTTTCTAATTGTAAATGTGTACCCCTTGACCAACCTCTACAGACTTTTCTGCCTCTGTCTCCGCTATTCTATTCTCTACTTCTACAAGTCAACTTTAATCCTGAGCTCTCAGGTACCAGGAATCCAATTTGGGAGGGTGCTCACATATACACATTCCTATACAGAAGATTCTAAAACCATCCCAAGAAAGTTGGCCACTTCTGCCAGTTATTACACATATTTTTTTGGTTGTAAGTATTCTAAATACTAACAATATCCTTCACAATAGAGACACACCTGAGAACTGAAGGCACAGAGTACTGGATGCCTCTTCTTAGCTTCAATGGTCAGAACCCACGGAGATGAAAGAATCCAGCTGAGCTGTGACTGTGCGCTTAGATAATGAGGTAATAGGCTAGGTACCCTTTGAGACAACTAGTGCCAACCCTCTTCCCAGCATTCAATAAACTCCTATTGTCTCCAATTCTGCATCTAAAACTCACTACTCAGTTCCCAAGTAACTACAACCTTTGAGGAGACATGGCTATCTTATTTTAAAGGTTGTGGCAAAAAGTGGGAAGCTCTAACAATCATTCTGTTGGTCAACATTCAATTCTTGAGCTTTCTGT